AATAATAACTGGACAGGGTATTACTAGCTTAAAACTGTCCCACCCATGGGCACAGGGGGCGCCCGTGGTACTGCAGACTAAATTCACGAGGGCTACCCAGAAAAAAGTCCCATAGAACTCAATGTAAATCAAAACAGCATGACCTCCACTGACAGAGAACCTACAGCTTTCATAAAGGTCGGATTTTGTGGGGATTTTAGTGTCCCTTGTCATTCTGAACTTGTTTTCTTCTTAAATCCTTCAGTTTTCTTTAAATACCACAAACTCTGCTCCTTTTCTTCCCGCTCTGGCTCCGTTCTTCCGTTGCTCTGATGAACAGCTCTGATTGGTCAGAGCGCGGCCGAGCCCCTCTGTGCGCGTGCATGAAAGCCACACATGTGTATTTGGCGCAGCGCATCATGGGAGATAATCCACTGCAGAACCGGGAGGACCAGACAATGCCCAAATATTGGCGAGTTCAGCTAATCTTCCGGTCTCCATGAAGTCCCATGCGCTACTGAGCACGAGCCATTCATTTGAATTGGGGCGCCATCTTGGATCACCAGGGCTTGTATACAATACGGCACTAGATCATATACAGAAGCGGAACGGAAGCGGAAGTAAATATAACTAACTGAAGCTACCTATGTATGCCTGAACTTAACCAGCCATTCCCATAAAATAACCCCAACCCACCCTTAACCATCTTACTCAGACACCTAAAACTTAACTTGAGGACTTATTAGTCTAAAACTAATTCGAAAGTAGGATTGTTACTTCCGGTTTTGTCCCGTTTCCGTATATGATCTAGTGCCTACCCATACAACACTCAAAACTTGTGAGATTATAGCCATGTCCTCCATAGACTTGACGTCACCTCGACTCAAACAGGCTGATCCAGAGTCTGCTCCTCTCACTGTGAACCCGCCTCCCCCCGCCCGCACGGTGGCATTGCCTCATGCTGCGAGTTATATCCTCCAGTACATAGTCATTTCAGACATGTGAATAAACTTTTTCCTACAATGACAATCCGTAACATCAAACCCTATGTCCTCGATGCACAATCAGACACTAACTATTTAGTTTACAGAAGTATACGGCGAGTTAGCATCACTGTACTTACAGATCGGGGGTCCATGTTACGTCTTTTATCGTGGGAATAACACATGTTTCCAGATCAGTTTTTGAGTAAATCCAGTTCTATTGTCCCTGTAGTTCTGAAACAGTCTTTAGTGAAGTGTCACAGATGAACAGATTCATTTAAACAGAAGCAAATCCACGTGAATAAAGTCGGGCTGCTTCCTCTTCGGGCCAAATAGTGTGCCACATACTTACACAAAAAATACATTTTCTCCAAGTTGACATCATCCTAATCATTTTAGTCGCTGACAAAAGCAGAAAAACAGCAGCTCCATGTGGTGTCCGCAGGATCAAACCACAGACATACTCTGGGAGCTAGACTCTGGGAGCTAGACTCTGGGAGCTAGACTCTGGGAGCTAGACTCTGGGAGCTAGACTCTGGGAGCTAGACTCTGGGAGCTAGACTCTGGGAGCTAGACTCTGGGAGCTAGACTCTGGGAGCTAGACTCTGGGAGCTAGACTCTGGGAGCTAGACTCTGGGAGCTAGACTCTGGGAGCTAGACTCTGGGAGCTAGACTCTGGGAGCTAGACTCTGGGAGCTAGACTCTGGGAGCTAGACTCTGGGAGCTAGACTCTGGGAGCTAGACTCTGGGAGCTAGACTCTGGGAGCTAGACTCTGGGAGCTCAGCTGTTTCGATTTGTCTATCACCTCCTAAATTTTTGTATTGTTATTATAATTATTATTACTTTTGAGAACAAACGCCATATCTATTGTGTATTTTTTTATGACAGTATTTAAGAACCAATTTAAATGCAAAGAAACGGACTTATGCGCGTCATATATGTCATCAGTGTAATGGTCACAGATGAGGACCCAGGCGTTTCACTGCCTCTCGAGGGTGAAGGAAAAAGATTGCTCTCTAACTAAAGATTGAAGGAATAAATGAAAAAACCTACTCTGGGCATGTGTATGAGGCCAAATAGCACTGTAATCATGTTTAAAGCAGAGAACAGTCAAAAAGCGTAATATGGCAGTCAGGTACGTCAAACTGAGCCAGGGAGAGACGAAAGATACCGCTGGAAAGGACCCTCATCCGAGAGCAGCTCCCGGAGCAAATGGTGAAACCTCACAAAACTCCCTAACCGTCTACGCACTATCTGATGAATCCAAGACCACCGTCGTCGATTAAGCCCTTAGAGACCCGGGTTGGTTCTGGCTTTTTTATCAGATATGCAACTCCTTCGCTACATCCATGTTGGGAAGTTTTTACAGGAAAAAAGAGACAAGCCCGCCCTAAACGCTCTCAACGCTCTGTGACCAGCGGCTGCCCTCTAGTGTCCATGGACGCGCGGCCAAGTGTCTCTGTGACAGAGGCTGCCACAAATTTGTCACAAGCCGGCCCAAGCCGCCGCGGTGATGGACGCGATAGGGCCGCAGAAATCGCGGTTTGGTTGAACGCCACCATAAGTTATATTCGCGCGGCGCATAAGTGGCGTCGGTTGGTTTGTTTTAGGGGGGGTGTTAAGTATTATTTTTTCACAGTTAGTCAGAAAAATGCTTGCCGTGGTTAGTGGTTGCGTATTGAGACTTCAGTCTCAACGACGCGGGTTCAAAATCCCGTCGGAAAAATTTTGGACTTTTCCACTTTTTAGTGAACAATTCTCTGTTTGGTTAAAAATCGAATAAACACTCAAATTAGGATTTGTTAGTGGCTAATAATAAATACTTGTGAACCATGCATTTGCATAAATCTCAAGTGCTCACCCTTATTGCAAATTGAGATTGTTAGCACATCAAATGCATTCATTCACAAGTTTTATTATTAGCCACTACGTAATCCTATGTTGAGTGTTTATTAGTCTTTAACCAAACAGAAAAAAAAATGTTAGTTAAAATCAAAAAAATATGTAAAGATAATAATACTCACACGTGGGCTCACGAACTCACGTAACAAGGCTGCACCACATCTGCTTAACCATACACCTACCGTAAGGTACTCTTAGGGTGCTTCACAGCCTATTATATTGTTTTGCTAGATCATTGACGTACTGGTCCGGTCGGCGTTGACCTGTTTGTAGACGTCTCATGGTGCTTTCAGACCGGGACAGGCGTTGGCGTCTGCGTTTCAATGCAAAGTCAATGGGAGCTCGCGTTTCAGCGTCGCATTGCACGGACCTCTCGGCTCACACGCACGGACCGCCCCAGTAGAATACGCACGGACTTGGCGGGAAAGTCAATGGGGGGGAGAAGGACGTGACAAGAACTCCCACAGGAGATAGGTTTCGCTATCTTTTCTCGAGATGTTCGTGCAGCGACAATCAGGAGCATGCACACCACTGACGTAATCACCCACTACAGGCAGTATATTTTCCTGTCTGTCCATTATTGGGAAATGGGTGCCCATGCCCGTTACAGAATCAAACCGGGAGGTTTTCGAACATCATCTAATGGAAATTTGCAGAAAAGGAAAATGCGCCACCATCCCAATGTGCAGTGATAGCCTGTTGACCTCACTCCATGCAACTTGTATTTATGTAAATAAAAGTGTTGTGTGGAATCTCTTGTGTTATCGTTGATACATTTCCTAGGTTCTTTTCGTTATCTTGTCATTAAGAGGCGTAGTTGTAGAAAGAACCATACATTCATTACAGGAATTAAAATGTGCAGCATGACTAAATTTTACTGTGGCCCCTCCTTTACAGATATAGATTGGCATATTGCACTTTTGTAGCATTCTCCACAGCTCTGAGAATGTATAAGGGAGAGTACAATAAAGTGTCTATAGTTGTTTCAGCCTTAGCACTGGTTGATGAGGGAACAAGGTGTTGTTCAAATGTGTGGGGCGCGTGCTTGCATTACTTTCTCTTGTTCTGTGATATCTTCGGTTGTTTACTGTTGTATGCTAATTGGTCACTAGATGGCGTGAAAACGGCCCTAAATCAAGGGTGTTTTTAAACAGGTTAATTACACTGTATTTTGATTAAGCAAGTAGGGATAAGGGCACAGCAACTACACATTGTCGAATTCTCCAAAGCTCAGGTACTATAAGGCGCGTACTAAATGTTACCAAATTAAAAGTAGAGAGGAATGTCTTTATAGACGATAACAAAATGTGTGCGGCCCAATGTAATATCTTCTCATAAATAAGTGTAATATCATTTGGAGAAGTATTCTGAAAAGCATATAATGTGATGCGGTTTTCTAATATTTGGCCAACAGTTAAAGCTCTTACAGCCATATATTAGGAATACATTGCACGAGAAAATGTGATGGACTTTATTTGTGGCATCTTCTCATAAATCCAAGTCACTACTCACAAAATAATGCTCACAGAAAGTAATTTAAAGAATTTGTGCAAATTTCAAATAAATTCACAAGTAATTTAAATTTGCAAATTTCTTTAATTGGCAAAATTTCCGTTCAAAAACTGTCTGTCTCCCAATTGGCCCCTGCCCTCCACCTGAAAAAGAATTCTAGCACATGAATGCAACCTATGGCGAGCAACTTGTGTCTAATTGTGGTCATCGTGGGCTAATGTTTCAGGGACTGCGTGGAGCAGACCAAAGCCCTAATTAAGTTCAGGGCTGACAATGAAGAGCAGTCACAAAAAAAGAAGTATACTCACAAAGCAACAACTGGGGGAGTGAGTAGCCTAACCTGCTGTTTAACAGTCACATTCTGATAATGCATTAACCCCACCTTATGTTCATCCCCAATTTAGGACAGCGCAGTCTTTGAGATCGGGCCTGACGGGTAAAATCAATGGCCAACAAGCAGCCAAAAAGTGGGAAAACTTGAACAACGAAGTACAAGGTAATGTTTATCCCATGTCCCATGTTATCATCTTCATCATCTATATCACAGAGCATAAAGGTCTATACAAAGTTGTTGTTGTGCTGTGACTTCAGCATGCATTAATTTATTTTTGTTATTCAAATCTCTAAGGAGAGGCCATTGTTGAACCTCCCATGGAGGAGCCGGATCCATCTTCCACTACTGCAGACACAGCCCCGCCAACACCGATGCCAGCCACACGGGCAGGCCCGTCTACTTCTTCCCCACCAGGTCCTAAAGCACCCACCACCCCATCTCCCAAAAAAAGGGCTAGAAGAGTCAATAATGCTGTCCTTGAGTTCTTCAAACAAGAGTCTGTGAAGGAGCAAAAAAGGCACGAGGAAACTGAGTCCAAAACAGAGAGGTTCCTCAGTTTGTTCGAAAAGCTTGTGGAGAAAATGCCTGAGCAGTGAGAGCTGTGGTGGTTTTCCCTCGTTCATGTTCATGTGCAATACGTTTCTTTTAAGCTTATTTTGATGTTTTTTTTATTTAATTCAAATATTGTTCTATATTTGTGATATTTTTTCTATACATTGTTTTAGTTATGTCAAATGTGAGTTCATCTTTCTGAATACAAATATTTATATAAATCAAAGTGCTTGGTGGTTGTTTTTTGACCGGGCATCATACACATTCATACAGTATGTCACGTCATTATAAAACAAACTACCAAGGTATTGTACAAAATAAGTTTAATCAAATGTAGAAACATGAACCACAGCAACAATATACAACACTTACAGTAACTATATACACCCACATAACACACAGGTCAGATATGTGCTTGAACATAACTATTTACAAGTTTTGCAAGGATTTTTTTCAGTGAGGGCCTTGTTTATCAAATCAGGCCAGCGAGTCTGTCCCTTGTGGCATTCCCTGGTGTTACATTTGGGTCAGGGAGTTCTTGTAACGGCAGTTCTGGGTCCATGTTGTCCCCGGCCACATCCTGATCAGGCTCCAAGATGTCTCCGTTATCCAAGCAAACATTATGCAGAAAGGCACAGGACGCTATTACTTGGGGTGCAAATGTAGGCTTGACTTCCAGGGCCTTGAAAAGTGTGGATCTCCACCGAGTTTTCATTATGCCAAAGGCTCTTTCAATAATTGAACGCCCCTTTGACTGGTGGTAGTTGAACCTCTGTTGCGCTCTGCCATTCACCGGTTCCCTGTAGGGAGTAATGAGGCAGACTGGGGTTTCCAAACACGGGTATCCTCCATCACCCAGAATGAAGTACCCAGTTGGAGGATACCTTCTTGCAATGTAAAAAGAGCTGCTCTTTAAAATGCGTGTGTCATGAACAGACCCTGGATATCCCACAAAAATATCAAGGAACTTTCCCAAGGAGTCACAAATTGCCTGCATGTTTATTGAGTAGAACCCTTTGTAATTCAAATAGTCCAGTCTATGGAGTGATGGGGGCTTGATCCGAATGTGGCAACCATCAATGGCACCAACAGCTTTTTTGAGGATGGGTGTCCCAGAAAGTTGCTCAAATCCATGACCCACGGTGTCAAGATTTGCCGGGCTTGGAAATGATATTGCCCTGTTCAAATTGTCCCAAATAAACTGTGCAACCTTGTGGACTATTCTATGGATGGTGGACCTGGGAATATTAAAAACATGTGACACCACACGGTAGGACAGACCATGGGCAAGCCAGTAAACGTAGATTAGAACTTCTAGCTCATGGCCCCAGCCGTGGTCCTGTTCTCTCCTCAGCAGACACTGCAGGGCATGCATGGCCTTCCTACTCAGTCTGAAGTCCCGGATGAGTTCCAACTCCACGTCAAACCACAAGCGCAGGATGGGTACATTCCTGTCCATCCTACAGTAGGTTAGTGCACGGCCACTCTGGAACACAATAGGTAAAAAACAAGCATTTAGACATAAACATAGTAAATAAAAGACAGCTTTTACTGTTTTTTTATGCATCCTGACAATTATACATCACAGTTGTCTTTTTCTTTTTTAAATATGATCATAACTGCGAGTTGGCATTCCTTCAAAAAAACAAAAAAATGGGGTTTTGGGGATACAGGGAACGTTTTGTAAGCTTCAGGTGTGAGGTGGAATTTTCTCCTGTTTGTTTACTTTCTCATCGCGTAACCGGTTAATGACCCAAAGGCTGTACCCATTTGTGAAAAAATTAACATACATTATAAGTAAGTTGGCGTTTTATCGAAACCAATAACAGGTAGTACGCTAGCAGCATACGGATAGCGTCATAATAAATGAGTCCACGTACCGTAAACAGATTAATCAGGGCAAAATAGCGGCGAAGTCGTCTTCGGTTTTGCCCATTTCTTCTCCGTTTGTTGGCCACACGAAGAAAGGTCATCAACGCCCACGCAATGGGTAAAATAACTACTGGAGCCGGCATTTCCAAACCTGTACAAACACTCGATGAAAATACACCGCTGCTTGTGACTCTTGTTTATGCATGACACAGGAGAACACGTGACGTTACTGAGGTGTACAGGCAATGTGTATTACCGCCATCTACTGGACTGGGGTGAAATTTTGAAACTAGTGATGTCCCAATTCTTAGGGGAAATTCTTCACTTGCACTTCCCTCATTGAGGGGACTCTACTGTGGAGGGAACTCATAGCGAGTGTTCTCAGAACAAGTTAGAGAAATGGGACTGGGCCATTTAATGTTAGTATTAGATAGCAATATGGCCTACGACTCTACAAGGACTCCATGTTATGACTATGATTTGACTGTCTCTTTGTGACACGTATGTCTTTCGATGTGTGACGTGACAATGACTATATAAACTGTGTACTGCCTTTATTCTGTTTGAGAGAAAGAAACAGAGTAAACCATTGGAACTTGAGAGAAACTTAAATAAACTTCCAGAGTTTGGCACACCACGATCCGTCTCTGTCTGCTTCATCCTAACAGATTTGGTGGAGAATGGATTGTTTTGAGGGAGTTTTTTTGTTTCTTTTTCTCGGCGTGGGAGAGCTGAGAGTGTCTGGGGCCTGGGAGCGGTCCAGCAGGCTGGAGAGGCGACCGGCTCCGGGACTCTTTTTCGCTCTCTCACTATATTTTTTTGTGTCCTGTTTTTTGGACTGAGCGTTTAAAATTGTTTTCCCATGTCCACATTCCGGGGATTTTTGACGTGCGATTGGTCTCTGCCGATGGAAACTAGTTCCCGGTACTAGTGAGCGCTGGTTCATGATCTGGAGACCTGGTTGGACGTGGAAAAGCTGATATTTGGTGGACTTCTGACTGTGCCTGGGCCCTGTTCGACAAAAGGTAAGAGCGGACACCTGTTTATTCAAAGTCTGCTAATTGAGTGAACTAAATTATGGTCTGTTTTGAGGTCTGCCAAATGTCTAATATCTATAGATAAGATTAAAAACAGGTTCGCTACCTGATAAGTGTTGGCCATAAAGTGAGTGAAGGATCCATAAGTGAAAAGTGTTGGCCATAAGTGAAACCATGGTGTAAAATTAAAAGCAATTTTTAAAAAGGGAAACGTGTTAAGGAGGCCTTTTGTCACAAAAAGTTTTGTAATTAACCAATTCCAGGCTTGATAAATGACAAAAGTAAAGAAGCAACAATATTTCAGTGATCGCGGTTTAAATTACATACAGAAAAAGGGAGTTTTTGCTTTCGGCGTGAACAGAGTTCACCGGAGAATGCAGAGTTTTATCTAAAGTTGAGCTATGAGAGCTTTCGTGAGTTGTTTACATATTTTGCCGAGTTTTATCTACAGTTAAGCTATGAGAGGGTTGTATCCAACAGTTGTTTTTGTTTTTTAGAAAGAGATTTTGAGTTTAAACTAGTTTGCTACCTCGATAAAATAGAAGCGTAAACGTTAAAGACAAGAGTGCCTTTTGTTACAAGTGTGGAAAGTGATCACTTCTAGACTTGGATGACAAAAGTATAAACTACAAGTTATATTTGCTCAAAAAAGTAATCTTGAAAGTTATTCTTCTTTCTGTTTTAGCATTTTTGCTAAAACACTGCTTTCTGCCTGTGCGTGTGCGCCGCTCTATCTTGCTGCCGTTGTCAGGGGAAACGGCCCCCTCCTTTGCTACTCCGGCTCTGAATCAGAGCAAAGCTACTGCTTTAGGATTTCTGGCTTTTCATAGTTGTTTTTCCGTTAAATTTGCTAAATTTGCAATTGAACATTGTGTTATGACACAGTTAAACGTTTTTAAACACCATTAGTGAATAGAAGTTTTGAATTAGTATGTTTTTGAAACCCAAAGATTAGTACAAAAAGCTTTGCTTTTCTTTTTAAATCTGCTGCTTATTTCTTAACTTTTTGTGTTGTGTTTGTTTTTATGTTTTTATTTTAGTTACAAAAGCCGTTTTTCAAACATTTAAATTAGAATCTGTGTTAAAAGTGCTTATTGATTATAGACTTTGTCTAAAAAGAAAGAGGGAATTAGGCTGTAAAAGTATTATTAAGTTGAACTGTACCCAATTCACCCAATTCACATTCAAGTGGTGACTTTTGTTTTTGTTTTGACTACACGCCTGGCCTTGTTGCTCCTGCTGATGCACACAGCAGAGGAGACTGGCTCTAAAATGTGCTCCAATTCATATTGACTTAATTTGAAAAATGCTGCAATTATTTTAAATTATTAGAATATATGCTGAGATAAATGTGCAAGATAATTAAACACACAGTACAAAAGTACATAATACATATTTTAAAGGTTGAAGGTTTAAGAGATTTGAGTCTTGTTTTTTATTAAGAGAGAGTTTCTGGTCTTAAAAGTGTCATCATTAGTAAGATAATAAGTAATCTTTTATTTACATAGCGCATGTTGAAAAACCCAGAGCGCTCCAAAATTGTTTTGACTTTAGAGAGAAAAACAATCTCATTCACATACTGATACTGTATCTGTTGTTTTTAATTTGACTATAAGGTTGTGTTCCAGGACCAAGGGCACACACTGTACAGGGTCACTGGACTGCTGGAGTGGACACTGGACAGCAAAGCCCACCCAGCCACAGGTCACAGATCAAAGAGCAAAGGAAAATGCCACCTCCTTGCCCCTCCCCCACTCCAGAGCTGAGTGGGTGTGAGAGAGACCGGGGTAGAGAGAGGTTTCTGGAGACGTGATGGGTGGAGCATCAGGCAGAGACCTGGAGGAGAGTTGGGAGTGTGTCCAGTTGGTTTACATCACCACAGTGTGACCTTTGAGACCTGCAGGTGGTTCGAGGAGTCTGGAGACACAACCCCAAAATTCACACCCTACATACACACACACACACACACAATCATACATACATCTACACACTCACACATTCACATTTACATATAGATACATGAAAAAGCAGAACATGAGAAAAAAGCATTTTAAAAGTTTACTCCAATGTAAACACATATTTTTAATTGTCTATCCAATTGGCTCTTACTTCCTGCTCTGGACAGAGCAGTCGCCTTCTCTTGCTGCTCCTCGCTTGCTGCTTTTTTATCTCCTTTAATCATTTTTGCTCACATTTTTATTCCACAAAACACGGATTACTCCTTTTTACAAACTTCAACACAAGACTTGGGGAATTTACCTTACTTACAGCATGTCGGGAGGACGGGAAAAAAGAACAAAACTTTGCGACGGCTGTTTTTCACTCAAACAGGAGCTAAAACTTCTTCAAGACCGAATGTTTGTGCTTGAATCAGAATTGGGGCTGAACACAACAATACCAGTGAAAGGAAATGGACCAAATGGACAGCACGTAAGTTATGATGACGCTATTTCATTTCCCAAAATCAACAGAGACAATTGTTGGAACACATATGGTGCCAAGCCCAAACAAGGCAAAGCTAATAACAAGAGTGTCATAATGCCACAGCAAAAATCTTTAATTACAAGAAACCGCTTTTCACCACTTTTGGAAGATGAATCAGCAGTAGTCTCTCAGTCCCAGTCTCAGTCTCAGTCAAGGTCAAATGCAGCTGAGTCGCTCTTTATCGGGGATTCGGCGATAAGAAATGTAAATATGCGTAATCTCAAGGTTCACTCAGTACACTCTGCCAAAGTGGATGAGATAAGGCGGTTGGCTCCGAGGCTTCTGTCTGGGACCGGCGGGGTAAAAAGATTGTTGATCCACGTGGGGGCAGTAGACGTCTATGACAACACAAGTGAAAAGTTGAAACGGGATTACTCTCTCTTATTTGACGACCTCGCTAAAATGGACACAACAATCGTTATCAGTGGCCCACTACCAAATGTGGACGGGAAGCAAATGAAATTCAGTCGTCTGTATCAGCTAAATACTTTCCTACTCAACGAATGTTCACGCAGAGGACTTGCCTTCATTGAGAATTTTAATCTGTTCTGGAATAGGCATGAGCTTTTTGAAGGGAAAGGGCCACATCTGAACACTTACGGAGTAAAAGTGTTGATGGATAACCTTTCTTTTGCCCTGAGACCTCAGCCTGCGCAGCGCGTGCAGCCATCGAAAGGGAGGAAGCCAACTCCAAAAGTCTCTGCACCTTCACCACCTCGAAGGATCTCAACACCACCACCACCTCGAAGGATCTCAACACCACCACCACCTCGAAGGATCTCAACACCTCCACCACCGCGAAGGATCTCAACACCACCACCACCTCGAAGGATCTCAACACCATCACCGCCTCAAAGGATCTCAACACCTCCACTGTCATCAGATGCAGCTGCATCATCACCAGCAGCAGCTGTATCATCACCAGTAGCAGCACCAGCAGCACGACCACCACCACCAACATCCTCATCCCCAGCCTGCTCCAAAGCAGCCACGCCTTCTTCATCTACAGCGCCTCTGAAGCCCCCATCCTCACCCCAGGCTACAGCAGACAGGCCTGTGCTGGGGTTTCCTCAACCACCTGCCCCTCCATCAAAGACTCACTCGCCACCTCCCATGGACCTGTCTTGGGTCCCCCCTGCCACGTCCACTCCATCAAGAGAGAATGGGGACACCTCCCTTTGTTTTTCATCCCCGCCTTCACTGTTAGACCTACCTGAACACTCTGCAGGGCTAATAAAATCGGCCATGAAGACTATTCCTCTCACACCCATATTAGCTAGATCTAGAGTCCTGTCCAACATGCTAAACCACTCCCCATATGTACCTCCAAAACCACCTAGGGTTTCCAATTCACCTACAAAAACCACCTCAGCCAGTCCCTCCCCAAACCTCATGACCATTCCACCCCCACTTCCCCCTCGTTCAACATCCAAAACCTCTGCCTCAGCCCACCCCGGCCCTAACCCATCACCTAAAACCCCTCCACCTCCCTGCCCCCCTCGTTCAACACCCAAAAGCCACCCACCTCTCCATCCTCCTCCCCTGCCTTCCCCTTCCCCTCTTTTCTCTAAACACTAGGATGCACAGGGTCTCTGCTTCGCAGCCACTGGCAGTCTAGTTAGAGGAGAGACCCGACTGGGGCCCTGTCATGAAGCCACCTGTGCCATTCCCTTAGTGATAACACAAAGAATACATTACCAGAGGTGGGACCAAGTCATCGTTTTGCAAGTCACAAGTTAGTCTCAAGTCTTTGCCTTCAAGTCCCGAGTCAAGTCCCAAGTCTTTGCCTTCAAGTCCCGAGTCAAGTCCCAAGTCAAGACAGGAAAGTCTCGAGTCGAGTCACAAGTCCTATCGTTAGAGTGTCGAGTCCTTTCGAGTCCTTTTAAAAACAGAAAAAATATTTAAACAGATCATGTATGCCTTTAAGATTTGTATATATTTATTAAACCTTTTTTTTTACAAGAACATTGTTCAAACACTCATTTAACTCAGACATTCATGCCTCTATCAGAGAAAGAGCGCACGAGAGAGAGAGAGAGAGAGAGAGAGAGAGAAAGAGAGCGTGCACGCGCGAGAGAGCGAGAGAACTGGATTAGAAGTGTCATGAACATAACAATTAACAGAGTTGTGCTTTTCTATGCAAGGGCCCTATGCTGCATTGCATTTGCAAAATATCAAATTGGCCAACAGTCTGTCACTCATTTGAGCACGATGGGGGCGTAGAATGACACCACCATGGCTGAAAACTCGCTCCACGGGAGCACTAGAGGCAGGCACTGCTAACACTCTGATGGCCACTCGGTAGAGTGAAGGAAGAGTCTTCATGTTTAGTGCCCAGAACAAAAGGGCGCTCTCTCCATCGGCTATGTCTAGGTAGTGACTTAGCTGTAGTGCTGGAGAGGTCCCGACATCCTTCTTCTGCCTCTTACGGTATGCACCAAACAGCCCTTCTCCTTCACCAAGGTCCTCTTCATCACCAAGAAGCACAGGTTGTTCAGTCTCTGCAGCATCTTGCAGGATCAATTCTGGAAAAACAGTAGCAGCAGAAACAAAATAGCCTTTATTACCATTGGTGTTGGTGATACAGTGTTGGACTGAAAAATGCAATTATTGATGCTGTCAATTAGATCAGACGAAAGTTGCATTAAAGTCAATGGTATTTACCTTTAACTTGTTGTGCCACCTCTGCCTTGATGTCACGATTGACCAGCACATGAGGCTCCACCCACAGCAGAGAAAAGGCTGGATCCAAGACGGCTGCTTTCAGGTAGACTGGGTCTGAAAAGGGGGCAGTGATCCCATCTTGACTCCTGGCCATTTTCACGTTAATGAATATCCCAAGAAATCTTTTGTTCAGGGATGCCTGGAGAATTCTGACCAGGCCGCTAAGGAAACGAACTTGAGGCTTTAGCTTCTCAAGGTGATGATTGAGGGACAAGACGGATGGAACAACTGCACTGATTGTGACGACCTTATCACCCTGTGTCAGATCAGTTGCTTCTACAAACGGCTTCAAAATGTCCACCAACTCCTTCAACAGATTCCACTCTCTTGGCGTGAAACATAACTCCTTATGCCCAGCCTTTTCTAGAACAGCACAGAGTTTTAGATGATCACAGTGGAGAACTGCCTTCACTTGCCTCAGTGTTGAGTTCCATCTAGTGTTTACTGCAGCAGGGATGCCTTTCTGTTCCCCAAATTCACTATCAAACACATCTTTGAATGTTGTGCTTGTGTGGAGCAGTGAGCTAAGTTTTGATAACTTGGAAAGAGAAGGACATGCCACTTTTGTTTCTTTTAAACCGTCTCCCACCACCAGCTGAAGCGTATGCGCAAAACACTGCAGGCGCTGTTTCCTTGACATAGCAGCATCTACCGTTTGCTGTTCTTCAAGGGATAAGTCACACCAGACCAGAGGGTCATCAAGATGATCTTTGTCATCATCCTCTTGTTCACTGGGGAAGCACACAGTGAATGCCTTTCGCATGTTAGCAGCATTGTCACTAATAATGTAGTCCAATTTATCTTTGATGCTGTATTCATCGCATATTGCCTCAAATTGGTCACAGATTCGTTCAGCTGTGTGTGAGCCTTTGAAGCGATTGCAGGCCAAGAGATTAGTCTTTAGCTGTATCCTCTCTGTCTCTCTCTCTATCCAGTGGACAGTGATACCAAGGAATCCCCTCATCTTTCGGTCAGACCAAATGTCCACAGTGACTGAAACATGCTCAGTGTTGCTCAATTGAGTTTTTAATCTTGAACGTCTCTCCTCAGCGAGACTTTCTGTTTTTGATGTCATCGTTCTGCGACACACTGGGCTGTACTTCTTGTCAACTACTGTCAAAAAGTGCCGAAAACTCTTGTTTTCTACAATAGACAGGGGAAGGTTGCAATCAATTATCAAGTCGTACAGTATGGCGTTAGTGATAGCTTTCTGCTGTGGATGACTCATGCTGTAATAACCCACACGACCGTCCAAGAATTGTGAGATTGAAGGCTGTTGTGGTTCATCTATGATGCTTTTATTCATCTGGTATTCTTCAAATCTGTAACAGGTAAGCATATAAAACAGATATCAGAAAATGCTAGCATTGTGTTAATATTATGTTTTGGGGTTAATATTAATTATATTGTATACTGTAAGAGTGTGTATGTTTTAACATCACATTGATAAAATTTGTTGTACTGTATAGTACTGTCATTGACGACACATAGCGTTACATCCAAGTGTCTTGTAGTTTATTATTTCGGTATCTGTATCAGACAGCTGCGGCCATTTCACTCCTTACACACAATTCATTGCAACACATCACTACCATGTATAACTCCGCCCTCTAGCCAGGCCTATGTTCATATCAGTGCGCGGAACTATATACTACGCTAAAACATTGTTAGGGGAGGATTGAAAAAAAAAAAACGGGCTTGATACGGGTTCGGGCCATGGGGTTCGGACAATGGGGTTCGGGCCTGAGAATTCTGAAAACCTGTTGGACCGGGCCGGGCTGGCGCTCCACCCCCTCGAGCCCAGATTATAGTCCCGTTCATAGCGCTAGCAGGGGGTAATTCCAAATTAGCCAAAAGCTCGAGACTGGACCATTTATCAACATTTTTTATGTCAAACACTCTTTCATCCAAATTAACCCATAAAGGGAGCTTAACGTGCAAAATGGTGAACTTATACATACATGAGCCCTCTGGAGATACAGTTTACCACGTTTTTAAGTCAAGGTGGTATTAACAGTGAGTTCACAGTCTGCACAGTCTCATTGATATGTAGTTAGATAGCAGCTCAGTTACTCAGACAACAAGCTAGTGTTCAAAACTTACCGTTGTTTGTGTAACTTCAAATGTCGTACGAAGTTCGAAGTTGTCGCGTCTCCGTCTGTTATATTGCTTCCGCATGTTTTACAAACGGCAGTTCTTTTTTTGTTAATCACCTGGTAGTCCTTGTACCCAAACGAAACAACTTTTGGAATCATTTTTGCTCCTGAGCGCGCGCGTTCAGCTTGTTCCCATTTATCGGTTGTCTCGTACTTTGATTGGTTGATGCTGTCAGGTCGAAACAACGTGGATCTAATTTGATTGGATATCATACCATACACACTCCACGCTGCGTGACTCACGCACACAGATGCACAAAGCAGGTGTAAAGGGAGAAAGAGCGATCAGTGCCGCGTGAACATACTTTTTAATCTTTGGGTTCGAGGAAAGTAGCAAGTCTTTTCAAGTCAAACGGGTCAAGTCCAAGTCAAATCACGAGTCACTGATGTTAAAGTCCAAGTCGAGTTGCAAGTCTTTAAGATTTTGTCAAGTCGAGTCTAAAGTCATCAAATGTATGACTCGAGTCTGACTCGAGTCCAAGTCATGTGACTCGAGTCCACAACTCTGTACATTACAGAAAAACATCTGGAGTTAATCAGTCTAATCTGGAAAATCTAATTCTTGTTCCGTGTAAGAATCAGCCGACCGCAACCGATGATACTGAAACTTTGAAACTTGCTACGCTTAATGTCAGATCTCTTTGTAACAAGTCTTTTTTAATCAATAATTTTATTTGTTCTCATAATCTTGATCTTATGTTCATGGCTGAAACTTGGCTTGACCAAAATTCAGAAAATGCAGTTTTAATAGAAGCATCACCACCAAATTTCAAGTTTGAATCTGAAATACGGGAAAACAAAAAAGGAGGAGGCTTAGCTGCCATTTTTAGAGACCACTTTGTCTCCCATAGAATGTCTCTTGGGAAGTTTTCGTCATTTGAATATGTGTCTTTTAAAATACAACAAAAACAATCTCCTCCAATACTCTTCATTGTCCTATACAAGCCACCGCAGTCATGTCACAGTTTTATTGATAATTTTACCGAGTTGCTTTCAGTTGTATGCACAGATTTTGATAGTTTGGTTATTACAGGTGATTTTAATATTCATGTGGATAATGTTGATGACAGAAATGCAAATGAGCTGAGTTCAGTACTTGAATCCTTTGATCTCACTCAGCACCTAAGTGGCCCCACCCACAGCAGAGGGCACACTCTAGATCTGTTGGTTACAAAGGGGGTGAATATTTCAAATGTAAACGTGGTCGATGTTGCTCTTTCGGATCATTTCTGTGTTTTTTTTGACATGTGTTTCACTAACAAACCACCAGTGGACTCTGCAACTGTACGAAGAAGACACATAAATGAAAATACGGGTGAACTATTTATGGGAATGATAAACTTTGAGAATGCATCGTATTCTACTGTAGATGAACTGTTTAACTCTGTCACCTCTAGTGTTTTGAATGTTCTGGATACCGTTGCCCCTGTGAAGGTTAAAATAGTGAAAAATAAGCAGAAGGCGCCGTGGGCTAAAGCAGACTCTGTCAGGGCACAAAAGAGAAAGTGCCGGAGGGCCGAGCGGAAGTGGCGCAAGTCCAACCTCCAGGTTGATTACGAGATCTTCAAAGATAAGTTGTGCGAGTTTAACCGGGTGCTACGTAGTACGAGAGAAAGGTATTTTTCTGAAATGATTGAAGGCTGCAGCAACAATCTGCGTGTTCTGTTCTCAACAGTTAATAGATTAACAACCCCCCCCCCGTTCAAATGCCATTAGAGCTTACTTCCAAACGTAAATGCAATGAGTTTGCTAATTTTTTCAATGACAAGGTTCAAGTTATCAAAAACGCCATTGTCTCCAATCCACAGATAACCATCCAACAGCCAGAAAGGCTCTCTGAGCTAACTCACTTTGCACCTGTAAATGATAAAACTGTCCAAGAGATAATCTCCAGTTTGAGCTCCTCCACATGCAGCTTGGATGTACTACCCACTAGATTTCTGAAGTCTGTTCTGAGCAGTCTGTTACCTTCACTCACACAGATAGTAAACATGTCCCTTCATTCTGGAATATTCCCAAAGGCCCTGAAAACTGCAGTCATCAGGCCCCTGCTAAAAAAGAGCAGTCTCGATGCTACGGTACTTAACAACTATCGTCCCATCTCAAATCTGCCATTTATGGGGAAAGTCCTTGAGAAAGTTGTCTACCTACAGCTTACTAGATTTCTTATAATCAACAACTCATTTGATATGTTTCAGTCCGGCTTTAGACCCCACCACAGCACTGAGACTGCTCTCGTTAAGGTTACAAACGATATCCGGCTGAACACTGACGCAGGCAAAGTCTCAATCTTAATCTTGTTAGATCTAAGTGCTGCCTTTGACACCGTCGACCATGAGATCCTCTTACAGAGACTAGTGGACTGGGTTGGCGTCACTGGCACCGCCCTAAGTTGGTTTGGGTCTTACCTTGAAGACAGGAAGTACTTTGTGGAGATTGGAAACTGTGTCTCAGATCATATGGCCCTGACCTGTGGAGTCCCACAGGGGTCGATCCTGGGACCTCTTCTGTTCAATCTCTACATGCTGCCGTTAGGTCAGTTAATACGCAGAAACGAAGTTTCCTATCATAACTATGCAGACGACACTCAGATCTATGTCTCACTGACTGCAGGAGAACATGGACCAGTGGACTCACTCCTTCACTGTATCCAACAGATCAGTGAGTGGATGCAAAACAACTTCCTTCGGCTAAACGCAGACAAAACTGAAATGATTGTCTTTGGTCCCCAGAAACAAAGAGAGAGCGTCATCTGTCACCTACAGTCTCTCTCCCTAAAACCTTCAAACAAGGTCAGAAATCTAGGGATAATGGGCTCAGACTTAAATTTTAATAGCCACATCAAATCAGTAACATCAGCAGCTTTTTACCATCTAAAAAACATTGCCAGGATCAAAAACATAGTGTCTAAAGCAGACCTGGAGATTCTTATCCATGC